CAATGACGTTCTTCACAGAATTAGAACAAAACATTTAACAATTCGTATGGAAACAGAAAAGACCCCAAATAGCCAAAGCATTCTTGAGAAAGAAAAATGGAGCTGGAGGAATCAGGCTCCCCAACTTCAAACTATACTACAAACTACAGTAGTCAAGACAGTATGGTACTGGTGCAGAAACAGAAATATAGGTCAGTGGTACAGGATAGAAAGCCCAGAGATAAACTCGTGCACATATAGTCACCTAATTTACAACAAAGGAGGCAAGAACATACAATGGAGAAAAGACAGCCTCTGCAATAAGTGGTGCTGGGAAAACTGGACAGCTACATGTAAAAGAATGAAATTAGAACACTACCTAAACTGTATACGAAAATAAACTCCAAATAGATTAAAGACCTAACTGTAAGACCGGACACTATAAAACTCTTAGAGGAAAACGTAGGAAAATCATGCTTAGACATAAACCAGAGCAAGATCTTTTTTGACTCACCTCCTGGAGTAATGAAAATAAAAACAAAAATAAACAAATGGGACCTAATAAAACTTAAAAGCTTTTGTGCAGCAAAGGAAACCATAAACAAGATGAAAAGACAATCCTCAGAATGGGAGAAAATATTTGCAAATGAAACAACGGACAAAAGGATTAATCTCCAAAATATACAAACAACTAATGGAGCTCATTATCCAAAAAACAAACAACCCAGTTGAAAAATGGGCAGAAGACCTAAACAGACATTTCACCAAAGAAGACATACGGATGGTCAAGAGGCACATGAAAAGATGCTGAACATCACTAATTATTAGAGAAATGCAAATCAAAAATACAATGAAGTATCACCTCACACCGGTCAGAGTGGCCATTATCAAAAGATCTAGAAACAATAAATGCTGGAGAGGGTGTGGTGAAAAGGGAACCCTCCTCCACTGTTGATGGGAATGTAAATTGATAACAGCCGCTATGGAGAACAGTATGGAGGGTCCTTAAAAAACTAAAAATAAAACTACCATATGACCCAGCAATCCCACTACTGGGCATATCCTCTGAGAAAACCATAATTCAGAAAGAGACATGTACCACAATGTTAATTGCAGCACTATTTACAGTACCCATGGAAGCAACCTAAGTGTCCATTGACAGGTGAATGGATAGAGATGTGACACATATGTACAATGGAATATTACTCAGCCATAAAAAGAAACGAAATTGAGTTATTTGTAGTGAGGTGGATGGACCTACAGTCTATCATGTAGAGTGAAGTAAGTCAGAAAGAGAAAAACACCGTATGCTGACACACATATATGGAATCTAAAAAAGAAAAGGTACTGATGAACCTAGGGGCAGGGCAGGAATAAAGATGCAGACATAGAGGACATGAACTTGAGGACACAGGGGTGGGGAGGAAAGCTGGGGTGAAGTGAGAGTAGCAATGACATATATACACTACCAAATGTAGATAGCTAGTGGGAAGCAGCCGCATAGCACAGGGAGATCAGCTTGATGCTTTGCGATGCCCTAGAGGGGTGGGATAGGGAGGCTGGGAGGGAGGCTCAAGAGGGAGGGGATGTGGGGATATATGTATGCATATGGCTGATTCACTTTGTTGTACAACAGAAACTAGCACTTATACTCCAGTAAAGCAATTATACTCCAGTAAAGATGTATTAAAAATTTTTTTAAATGTCTGACCAGTTTTCCCAATGCCATTGATTAAATAAACTATCTTTTCCCCACAAATGTGAAATGCCATTTTTTTTTTTTTTTTTTTGCGGTACGCGGGCCTCTCACTGTTGTGGCCTCTCCCGATGCGGAGCACAGGCTCTGGACGCGCAGGCTCAGCGGCCATGGCTCACGGGCCCAGCCGCTCCGCGGCACGTGGGATCTTCCCGGACCGGGGCACGAACCCGTGTCCCCTGCATCGGCAGGCGGACTCTCAACCACTGCGCCACCAGGGAAGCCCTGAAATGCCATTTTTATGCTAAATTCTCGAATCTTGAGTCTATTTCTGAGTTTTCTATTGTGTTCTATTGATTTGTCAGTCTTCAGTGTCACAGCTTAAATTACCTTAGATTGATTGTCCTTTAACATTTCTGTTTTTGCATTTTGTAAATATATGAACATCATACTAGCTTGTTCATGTATTACTATTACATATCTGACTGTTGTTACTTTGTAGTGTGTTTTAATAATTGGTGCTGCTGATCTCTTTTTTTCTTTTATGACTTTGCTAAGTTCACAAGCATTTTCATCCAGATTAGAAGTATTTGTGATAAATCCAGACCACCATTTTATATTTTGATTGGGATTTTATTTAATTTATAGTTTAATTTAGGGAGAATTGATTTCTTTACAACTTTGAGCTTTCATCGTTAAGAACATGGTCTATCATTTCATTTATTCAGATCTTTTTTCATGTCCTTGAATATTTTTTGTTAATTTACCCCTAAATTATTGCTTTTGGTTTCTCTGTCCCTTCATTTGAGGAATGCGTTTTAAACTTGATCAGATTCATTTTTTTAAAGTAGGTCAAGCCTTCTGGGAAAATGTCACATTTATAGTTTGTAATACTGGCTTTCCAAGCTGTCTCTACAGTATGTCTGGCTCTGTAAACTAACAAGCTGTATTTCCGACAGTCCTTGAGGCAAATTAAATAATGGCTTCATTCTGATAGTAGCTAATATGGTTTAGTTACTGAGTATAAATTACAACAAATTTCTGATGAAGATGACCATATGTTGTTGACCAAAATTAGATATTAATGCAAATTTGGAGTTTTAAATTGAAAACTTCAGCTATTTAAGTACAATATATAGGCAGCTTTTTATTAAGTGAAAAAAACAAACCTACAACTAGAAATTTTCATAAGGCATGCATGTGCTAGCTTGCCCAGCCTCCTTGGTTAGACCATTTATATCATTTATTTCATTGTACCTGGGAATCTTGTATCTTTATCTGCTGCCTACATGAGCTGTCTTTATGCCCAAACCTATTTAATCCCAAGTAGACTGTTGATAAAAGCAGCTACTATTTATTGAGATCCAGCTGTGTGAGATCCAACTATGTGTTGGAGCTAAGAGGTAGACTCAATAATTAAGTTAGATCCGTCCAGCTCTGAACTCTTTGGGAACTTGGACTGCATTATAGGCTTCCCAGCACGTTTGGGTGTATGTGTGTGGTGTGCTTTGGAGGGCTTCTTTGTTGTTTTGGGGGCTTGGTGAGAGGAGGAAGAAGTTGGTCATAATTTTCACAAACCCTGTTAACACTGCTTCTAAAATATGGAATCTTTTATAATATCCCTTTCTTGAGAGAGATTCTTTATTAAGTACCTCAGTATATTTTAAATTGTAAATGTCTTGCTGAACTGCCATTATTTGGTAGATTCTAGGGTCAGAATTTTTGGGAAGTACTGTAAAACCAGATTTCATAAAAAATAATGTATTTTTTTGGAAATTTTTATGTTCATATCTTTGTCCACTTTTCTGACATGTTTTACATTTTCATTGTTGGTTTGTAAGGGATTTTTGTTTTGTTTGTTTTGTTTGTTTTTCGGTCATGTTTAACCACACCAAAGAATGCAAATAAATAAAAAGATATTATTGTACCTATTGATATGGATAAAAGTAATAATAATTTTTCTATTATAATACCTAGTGTTTTGCAAGGAATACACTGTTCATGGGAAAACTGATGTGCCCCACTGCAGAGCAATTTGGCAGTATCAAAAAATCTAACAAATATGCTTATTCATCTTGAGCCCAGGTTTTCTACTTCTCATGAGTCATTTCTCATGTGTGTATATTTGAAAATAAGCTAAATGTCCAATAATAAGATGTTGGAGGTAAAAAGTATGGAATGTTGTACAGACCTTAAAATCATTGAAGAAAAATATTTAATACGTGGGAAAATGTGCATAAGAAGTTAAGTTAAAAGGCAGGTTATAAAGAGCTTGTACTGTATGTTCCTAATTTAAAAAATTTTGTATATATAAGTGAAATAAAGTATGTAGACTTTGGATTCTAAATCAAACAAGCTAACTGTAAAAAGACATTTTGGAGACAGAGAAAATCAAACAGGGACTAAGTATTAGATGAAACTGAGTATTTGCTATTAGTTTTGTTAGGTATGATAATGACATTTTAGTTTTTTTAAGCATTCAGTGTTAGAGACACATACTGAAGTGTTATAGGGTGAAATTATATGAAATCTGGAATTTGCTGCACAATACTCAAAAATAAAGGAATTAGATAAAACAACAACAAATAGTGTAGTAGCTAATAATGGAATTATCAAAAGATTTAATTTAATAATGGAATTGTCAAAAGATTTAATTTAGAGGGAAAATATTATTTTTAGTTCCTTAAAAACCACTTGTTGAATTATAAACAGCATACCAATTATAACTGCAAATTATTTTATGCATTAAAACAGCCGAACCTTTGCTTTTCATGCATAATATGCTGTGTATCCTCTCAAACTTAGTAAAATATTTGTGTAAGCATTCTAAGATTCAGAGAGACTTTCTAGGCCAAATTAGTGTGGCTTATTTGTGTATATTATGAAGTATTTCGGATACACTAAAAGGCTTAAAGAATAGTAATTTACACTATCCCTATACCTAACATCCTACTTAAGATATAAAATGCAACCAGTATAATTGAAACACCAGTTTTACTTCTCCCTAATTGCATAATCCTTTCTCTGCCTCAGAAAGAACAATTAATCATCTCCTTTTAAACATAATAAAAGCTATGCTTTTGAACTTTATGTAAATGGTAGTGTATTCTGATGCTTTTGCGGCTTGATTTTTTTCCATTCACCTTACTCTTTCTGAGATTTCATCTGTGTTGATGTGCATAGTTCAGGTTCATTCATTTTCACTGCTTGAACTAATTTCTTTGTATGAAAATGTCACAATTATCTATCCTCCTGCTGATGAACATTTAGCCGTTTCCAGTTTTTGCGATTAACAAATGATGTTACTATTAATGTTCTTTTACAGTTCTCCTTGGGCCGTGTGGGAGAGAGTCCCCAGGACACCTACCTATGAATGAAATTGCTGGATTGAAAGGTATGTGAATCTTCCGCTTTACTAAATATTGCCAAATTGTCTCCAAAAGTAGAACCTGTTTGGATGCCAGCCTTAACTGGTTCTGCACCCTTGCCAACACTAGGTATTGTCAGACTTTTTCGTTTGTCAGTTTGATGAGTAATATATCTCATTGTTATTTTGAATTTCACTGATTACTGGTGAGGTTGGACATCTTTTCTTATGTTATTAGTATTACAGGGTTTTTTTCTTTTGGAATTTTATTTTTAATATAGCAGGTTCTTATTAGTTATCTATTTTATACATATTAGTGTATATATGTCAATCCCAATCTCCCAGTTCATCCCACCACCACCACCACCCCCCACCCCCCCACCCCCTGCTCCCTGCTTTCCCCTCATTACAGGCATTTTTTTTAGTACTTGCATATTATGGCTGTAAGTTGTATGCAAAGTTGAAAGCATGAAGTAGTTGCTACTAGTTAGAAATATACCATAATTTTATTTTTAAAACATTGGCAACTTTGCAGATTTTTTGGAGGAAATAGTTTGGGATGATTTTTCGAACAGTGCATTAGAGAGCGCATGGGATTTGGAATTAAATTGGTGCTTGAATCCTGGCTTCATTTTTTATCAGCTATATGACCTTGGGCAATTAGTGCAATCTCTCTTGAGTCTTTCCTCATCCTTAAATGAGTATAATACCTCCTGGTTTGATGATAGAATTAAATCTGTAACAGTTTTTGCCTGGTCATCAAAGAAACACATGGTCTTGTGTTACCCTGATGGCAGATTATGTGTTTTCTGTTGACTAATTCTGGACGCTTTTTGTCGAGTGCTGCTTTCAGTTGGTCTAATTGGGAGCAGTACTTGTTGGAATTAAGCGTTTGGTTTTCCAGAAGGAGCTCAAAATAGGGGACTCCCTTCCAATCCCACCATATACACAACATCACCTATTTTGGATGAAGACCTGCCTTTGGTGTGGTCAGTGGTGGTTCATTTTGCCTGCCTCACGATCTCTTCTGTTCCACATTATTGTACAGTATCCATTTTTTCATCACCTGTCACAATTTGTTTTAAAAATGGAACGTTTTCATTATGTTTAAGTAGAGAATCGCATGCGGGAATATGGTCAAGAAGGTTTTTTTTACTTAACTTATGTGGAACCCAAACATCAAAGCAATGAACATAACCAAGCTGGTGCAAATGATTTTCAACACTTGATTTGGATATTTTGAGTATGTCGTCTATCTCCTGCATGGTGTAATGTTGATTCTTCTCAATTAATGTCTTGGTTTGATTGCTACCAACTTCAGCTAGTCTCCCCGACCATGGAGCATCATCCAGCGAGAAATCTCCAGCACAAAACTTTGCAAACCACTTTTGACACGTTCAATCAGTCACAGCACCTTCTCCATACACTGCACAAATCTAGTTTTTTGCATTTTCGTTTCGTTTTTACCTTTCTTGAAATAACAAAGCATAATATGCGGAAAATGTTGCTTTCTTTCTTCCATCTTCAATATTAAAATGGCTACACAAAAATTCACCAATTTTTTTTTTAATCAATTTATTTATTTTTGCTGTGTTGGGTCTTCATTTCTGTGCGAGGGCTTTCTCTAGTTGTGTCAAGTGGGGGCCACTGTTCATCGCGGTGCGCGGACCTCTCACTATCGTGGCCTCTCTTGTTGCGGAGCACAGCTCCAGACGCGCAGGCTCAGTAGTTGTGGCTCACGGGCCTAGTTGCTCCGTGGCATGTGGAATCTTCCCAGACCAGGGCTCGAACCTGTGTCCCCTGCATTGGCAGGCAGATTCCCAACCACTGCGCCACCAGGGAAGCCCCGATAATTCTGTTTTTTAAATGCACTCTGATATGACAGCTGTCACAATACAATCTAACAATTGTTTTGAATGAAGTTAAAGACAACCAAGTGCTACTAGAGCCATCTTACAGAAAAAACCGAAAGAACCTTTGGGCCAACCCAATACATAGCTTTAGGATGAAATAAACATATTCAAATAATAGTGTGGAAGGTGGATGATACCGTGGCACATGATTAAATCCTTCCTGAAATCTGGCAACATTTGTGAAATTAAAATGCAGCCTGGGGCTTCCGTGGTGGCACAGTGGTTAAGAATCCACCTGTCAATTCAGGAGACACGGGTTCGAGCCCCAGTCTAGGAAGATCCCACATGCCGCAGAGCAACTAAGCCCATGCGCCACTACTGAGCCTGTGCTCTAGAGCCCGTGAGCCACAACTACTGAGCCCGCATGCCACAACTACTGAGCCTGTGCTCTAGAGCCTGTGAGCCACAACTACTGAGCCCGCATGCCACAACTACTGAAGCCCGTGTGCCTAGAGCCCGTGCTCCACAACAAGAGAAGCCACTGCAATGAGAAGCCTGCGCACCGCAACGAAGAGTAACCCCTGCTCCCCGCAACTAGAGAAAGCCGGCGCGCAGCAACGAAGACCCAACGCAGCCAAAACAAAAAGAACAAAACAAAACAATGTAGCCTGATAGTTGATGCTAATATAAGTGTACTTCATCTCAGGGCCAAATGAGGAGATCGCTGGTGTACCAAACCAGAGTGGTCACATGTTTAGTGCAACCCACTTCTCCCCATACATGCACACCCACACCCTTGAGTCAATTGTGTTCATCTTCTGTGCCCTGTCAGTTTTTGACCAGTCAGAACATCAGTGACTGTGATGAAGCTGTCCAGGATCGCAGTGGGTAGGTGGGAGTGACCTTGGGACCCTTTGGTTGTCCCGGAATCTGGCGTGGGTGTGGGGACTGTGTTGCTAACTGTGCAGTGTGGGAGAGATGGGCTGGGTGCCCAAGAGCTGATGGAGGAAGTACAGGCTTGTAGATAATTATGAGTTGATGTTATTGTCCCCTTGCCACAGGAATTTCTTCACATGGCTTCCGAAGATGTGACCATTACGGTTCGCCTCATTCGTTCATTTGAGCATCGCAATTTCAGACCTGTAGTATATTATGGAGTTCATTTGGACCAAACTGTAAAGGAATTTATAGTATTTCTAAAGCAAGGTATGAGACATCTCAACCACTTTGTTTTATTAGTGTTTTGAAAAATATTGTTGACTATTAGAATGATAGTAATCTTTAAAAAACACTTGGAAAGATATTAACCTGTGTTCTAAGCCAGGTGTGAGGCTGGCTCCTGCTCTGGGCCTTGGCATCAGCGGCAGTGTTTCCCTGAGGCTTATTTAGCAACATGTTTGCCCTCATCAGAGATTGTCACTATCATGTTTGGCTTCTCCCTTTTTTAATTAAAAAAAAAATTAAGGTCTGTGTTTGCTTGTAACAAACGGGTTTATGTATTTGGAGACTGATTAGTAAGAGAATGTCGTGTTACCCGGCTGAGCACAAGAGGGCCTTCTGGGGAGTGTGACAGGAAGGTGGCAGACCTCTGTACAGCCAGGAAATCATGAGAGCTGCTGGTCATTGTGGGCACAGAAGTGACAGGCAGCCTCACTGGTGCTACTGTATCATTTCAAGCTTAACATACAGCAGGCTTGAATTTAGTCTTCATTTTGATTGGTCCTTTGTGGGTTTCTAACCTCTGTTTTCAATTACTGAAGCGTTCCAATCATCAACATTTGATGAAACACCTAGAATAAGCTTTTATTATTATCTTATGGTATAATGTACAGATCTTTGTGTACTGTTCTATGAGTTTTGACAGATGTAGTACTTTATATCCAACTTAATTTTTAAAAACTGACATAATTTCAGACACAGAAAAGTTGCAGAAACTCCTGGATGCTCTTCACAGATTCCCCAAATGTCAACATTTTGTTAACATTTGTTTTTCTCTCTCCTCCACCTTCCCCCTTTCTCTCTTACTCTCCCACTTCATTCTTTTCTCTGAACCTTTTAGAAGTATGTTGCAGACATGATTCCCTTTTACCTCTAAATATTTCAGTGTGTATTTTCTAAAAACAAGGAATTCACTTACATAAACATAGTACAGTGATGAAAATCAGGAACTTAACGTTGAAACAATGCTATTATCTACTTTACAGACCTTATTGAGATTAATTAATTCCTTTAATCTGAGTTAATTTCTTTATCCTGGAGTCTTTTATTGTGTTTCATCACATTGGCAATTTTGAATAGTACAGTCCAGTTATTTTGTAGAACGCAGGTGGGTTTTTCCAGTGTTTTCTCATTATTAGATTTAAGTTATGCTTTTTCTCCCCTCCACAGTTTCCCCTATTATTAACATCTTACATTAGTATGCTGCATTTGTTGCAATTAATGAAACAATATTGATGCATCATTAATTACAGTCCATAGTTTATTCAGGTTTCCTTAGTTTTCAATTTCAAATCATTGAAACAATGCTGACTTCTCAGTGCATTTACACCAGGATGCACATGCTGTCGACTGCCCCCATTAGTGGCAATGGTGACTTTAATCAGTGGGTTAAGGTGATATCTGCCAGGTTTCTCCACTGTACATTTTTATTGTAATTGAAAATTAACTTGTAGGGGTATATTCTGAGACTATGTGAATGTCCTGTTGCTTCTCAAACTTTCGTCCACTAGTTCAGCATCCTTTGATGATTCTTGCCTGAATCAGTTATTATGATGATGATTGGCAAATGGTGATTTTTCTTATTCCATCATTCCTTTTAGATACATTAGTTGTTTTTCTACAGTAAGGAAGAGCTTTTTACCCTACCTGCCCATTCTCACCCCCCGCCCCATTTATTTAATCTTTTGTTTATATCACTGTGGACTCAAGGATTCTTACTTTATTCAAAGGATTATAATTCTTTACTATGATTATTTTATTTTGATGCTCTAATCATCCCCATTTTGGCTGGTGGTAGCCCCTTCAGTCTGGGTCCATGTCCTTTTAACATGTCCCCAATCCTTCTTTGAGCACTTCCTTACTTTTTGGTCTAAGGTGTTCCAGACATGTCCTGTTCTTTCTCTGCCCCAGCCCTGGGATCAACCATTTCTCAGAGGAGCTCTGATTCTATTACTGGAGAATGTTATTGGGAGACCAAGATCTTGTTTTATGTGTGTGGAATGTAAGTGTGTATAGCTAACTTTAAGAAATGTAGTTAATTCTTGACATTTTATTTCCTGATTGACTTTGTAAAATTTCTAAACTCTTCTCCCTTACTTTTTTTTTTTTTTTTGTCTAATTTTGAGTGGTTTCACTGCTCAGTATTACTTGCTTAAGAAGAAAGTGAGGTATATAAACCCATAGGGAAAACGAACTAGTCAGTCTACTTGTTATGGAGAGATTGAGAGCTGGTACTGAGATACTGCCAATTAAAGAGGGTCCTGCTTTTGAAAAGATATCGCCAAAAGCATATTCAGGTTTTGAAATAAAAACAAATCCCTACATTTTTTATTTTAAAATCTTTGTGTGTGTTATGGGTTACAGTGTTTCTTACTGTTAATACAGTGAGTGCTGTGGTGTTCTTGGTACAGTGCAGAATAGGTTCTCTGAAGTCCTTGAGAATAAGATGTAATCTTCAAGCTGCTCCAGTGCCGCCAGGGGCAGATGTATTCTCCTGGGGGTCACTGTGTTCTTTCCTTCCCAAGTACCATAGAATGCTCCCCATTAGAGCAGTGGTGTGGATCACAGCTAGATGCTCAGCCCAGCCTACTCACATCTTTCACCTGTGCTACTAATAGTATATCCACTACTTGTTTCTATTGTGCATGTGGGAAATGTGTTCTACTGATTAAAAGGTAAACTTTGGGGTTCAGACCTTTTTCGCTTGTGTGCTCTCTGCCTATCTTTGTCATCTGATTTGAGGTACTGTGGAACTCTGCAAAGCTGGTGAATTTACCCTTTATAAATTGTGTACATAACAAAGACCAAATAGCTTATTACTGAGAAATTTTTGAACTAATAATAATGATAGCAAGCATTACTATGTATCAGATACTGTGCTAAGAACTCTAAGTAGGTTATCTCATTTCATCCTCACAGCATCCTTCTACATTAGCAACTGTTATTATCTCCATTTTACAGATGAAGAAACTAAGGAACACAGAGAGAAGTGAAGAAACTTGCCTGAGATTACATGGCTAATACAAGGCAAAGCTACAGCCCAACCCAGGCTGTTCACCTGTACATCATGCACTCCTAAACACTACACTAAGTTGCCTCTTTATTTTTGTCTACTGCCTTGCTTGCTTAAGAGGATCCCTGAAGTAAATGGATTCACTCAGTGTCAAAAGAGTCTTTGAATTTAGTTCATCTTGCTCTAGTGTTTTTTTAAATTGAAATATAGTTGATTTACAGTGTTTCAGGTGTACAGCAAAGTGATTCAGTTATATATATGTACATATTCTTTTTCAGGTTCTTTTCCATTATAAGTTATTACAAGATATTGAATATAGTTCCCTGTGCTATACAGTAGGTCCTTGTTTACATATTTTATATATAGTAGTGTGTATCTGTTAATCCCAAGTTACCAATTTATCCTTCCCACCCCTTACCCTTTGGTAACCATAAGTTTGTTTTCTATGTCTGTGAGTCTTTTTCTGTTTTGTAAATAAGTTCATTTGTATCATTACTTTAGATTCCACATATAGGTGATATCATATGATATTTGTCTTTATCTGACTTACTTCACTCAGTATGATAATCTCTAGGTCCATCCATGTTGCTGCAAATGGCATTATTTCACTCTTTTTTATGGCTGAGTATATATATGTATATGTATTCCATTATATATGTACCACATCTTCTTTATCCATTCATCTGTCGATGGACATTTAGGTTGCTTCCATGTCTTCGCTATTGTAAATAGTGCTGCTATGAACATTGGGATGCATGTATCTTTTCAAATTAAGAGTTTTCATCTTTTTCAGATATATGCCCCAGAGTGGGAATGCTGGATCATAGGGTAACTCTAGTTTTAGTTCCTTTTTTTTTTTTTCTTTTTTTGCGGTACGCGGGCCTCTCACTGTTTGTGGCCTCTCCCATTGCGGAGCACAGTCTCCGGACACGCAGGCTCAGCGGCCACGGCTCACGGGCCCAGCTGCTCCGCGGCATGTGGGATCTTCCCAGACCAGGGCACGAACCCATGTCCCCTGCATCGGCAGGCGGACTCTCAACCACTGCGCCACCAGGGAAGCCCTAGTTTTAGTTCTTTAAGGGACTTCCATACTGTTCTCCATAGTGGCTGCACCAATTTTCATTCCTACCAACAGTGTAGGAGGGTTCCCTTTTCTCTACGCCCTCTCCAGCATTTATTATTTGTAGACTTTTTGATAATTACCATTCTGACTGGTCTGAGGTCTGGTCTGACTGGTCTGACCTCATTATAGTTTTGATTTGCATTTCTCTAATAATTAGTGATGTTGAGCATCTTTTCATGTGCCTGTTGGCCTTGCTGTAATGTTTTGAACACTTAAAGCTGGAAGGATGTTTGACATTGTGGCATAGCGAATCTTGTACACAGACAGAAATGTTCATTGTGGTGAATGACCTTTTGGGGTTATTTTAGATGCCTTCTTGCCTTTCTAGCTGTTTTCTTCTTATCATAGTCACTTTTTGCCATCCATAGCTTAACCTTGTCTCTTCCCATAATTGTCTGTATTTCTCCCTTAGCCAAGAAACTTTGGTTAAATTTGATCCATTCTGCATTGAGAATCATTGTACCACTACACCATGCCATTAAAATCTAAAGCTGTATAAATATAGTACATAAGTATAGTAAATATAAACTAACACTTACAAATAAGTATAAATATATCAATAATAAATACTTAAGATTATATTTATATGTAAGCATATAAATATAACAAAACAAATCTATTATTAACATATCTGATGTTAATCAGATATTCTGAACACAGAGGTACCATATACCATAAGGTATATTACCTCATATAGATGACAGATTTTCTAGATTCAGAATAAATAAACGAGCCAATTATCTAGATAATATGACATTTTAATTATTCATTGATTTGGAAGCATTTTAATACTTTGTAATACTTTAGATCTTGATTCTGAATGTAAAATTATTTCATCTGTTAAATAGAGGA